GGGGGTGAGATGGGACATTTTGAGGTGTGGTGGTTGTGGTTGTGGTGATGGTGGTGGTGAAGCTGTGGTGGTGGTGAAGTTGATGGGAGAGGGAGCGGGATGGTCCGTCTTATCATCGACTGGAAGCTCCAACAAGGGATATCTCCTCGCTCCCCGGTTCCATGGGTGAGACGGAGTCTGACGGGAGTTGGTCTCTCCCGTCCACTGGCTGTGGGGTCTGTGGATGGGTTTATCCCCAGTACTGCTGCTGCTATCTGCATGATGGCGGTGTTGCCTTGGTGCTGGCAACTCTACGGTAGCATCCCGGCCGACTATGTCTCCGGGTTGATAAGCAGGCCGGGCGGATCGGCCGCTTATGGAGGGGAGAGGCCGGTGATTTCGGAGTTAGGGTGGTGTGGGTTGTGACAGCATGGATGGGTGCGCGTTTGAGGGCATCGGCGTCTGGTAAAGACTGAGGCATTGTGTTTGTTTTTATGTGGTGGTGCTGTTCCTACCTGTCTTGGGATTTTCTTTTTCTGGTCTGGGGTAGAAGATGGATATACCATGTGTGTGTAAGTGGCCAGGGGCTTGGTGAAGGAAGTTGATGATGACGCGAGTTAGAGACTAGAGGGGAATGATGTCTTTTTAAAGTTATATATCTGATGGTTGGATATATGACATACTCCAGCTCTGGAACGAGTGAGGTTGAAGTGACAGATGGGCAGCTGGAAGCTATTCCAGAAATGCGGTGATCATGGGGTCCTCGAGACACCAAGCACCACAGACAGTAAACATCCAAGTCCATGGGAACCTGCATATACCACGGTCAACCTGCAGAATTGGTACTCTACATTCTTTCAAGGTCTTCGAACAAAAAGAAAGAAATTGTTGATGGAGGTGGTCAACCTAGAGGCTTCATGCTCTCAATTCTTGCCTGCAAGTCTTCGGGGCAAAGCCATGAGACTTTGACCGGACAAGTCAGCGCCCAAAGGGTGGGAGGCATTTTTGCGACGATGAGTCTTGTGTGTTGCCGACGTCTCCGGGTCAAAGATATTGTCTGCAGTCAATTGGCGAGGTTCTTTCGTCCATGCTCACAAGAAAAGACTCGAGTCGTTCCTGTGGCCGCCCGACGAAGCCGAGACTCGGAGCAAACGGCAAGCCACCACAAGCCCGTGGCAGTTGTTTGCCAGGCTGGATGGAAGTGAGCAAAGATTGGGCGAAAGAAAGGGGAAAAGAGTCCAGACTGCCCCTGAAATCATGAGATGGAACAAAAAGGGAAGAAAGGGTGTGTGTGCTCGGTCCCCAGCCGAAAATAACGTCAGCGTTGGTTGTTGCACCGGCATCCGTCCGCGCGTGCCTTTGCAGCAGCAGCGCGCATTTCGGATCTGTGATTTATTATCGGCTTGGAGTGGCTGTCCGGGCGGAAGAAATGCCATGATGTTTCTGGTGACACCATGACCGAGGGAGGGAGACAGTCCCCTCTCTGGCCTTCATCACCACCTGCCCAGACGACACTGATATTGACCCCTCCCTGATGTTGCAGACGCTAGCATTGGGGTGGTGGAGAATCGAGGGTGCGGGATGCAGGTCGTCAGGAGGGACGACGAACCGACGAGCTGGAAGTGAGAGGTGAGGTGAGAGGTGAGAGAAGAGGAGAGAAGAGGAGAGGAGGGCTGATGCCGGTGATACCCCAATGCGCCAGCACGAAAATAACACATGGCCGGCGTGTGGAAAACGGACTCTGCGGAAATCCCACGTTTTTTCCGGGAGCTTGTTTTCTTGCTTTTCGCTTTTCCTGGTTCTTCGACCGCCATCGCATTGAAGACTCCCTGACCCGGCCTCCCCATTGGATCCCCGGCCAGTGCGCCCTCGCCCAGCGCCCGGCCCCCTGTTCGACACCCTTGATGCCGCTGGCCGCTGTCCACTGCCTGCTGCTCGCCCGGGTGCTCTGGACTCTGGTCGGGTCCGGCTGGCCGCGCTGCCCATCCCCATCCCCATCCCCAATCCCCAACTCTTCAAGAACCAACCATCCACAGAACCCATCCCATCCCGACCCGACCAAGAATACCCGCGCCGCCCTCGTAATTGTCTCCCCCCCTCGGGTCCCTTGATGACCCAGTCGCTCGCCCTCCCACCTCACGCGACATGACGGGAGTCCTGAGCAAGCGCCAGCAGGCGCGCAACGAAAAAGTCTTGCAGGAGCTCGTCCAGACGGTGCCCGGCAACAACTTTTGTGCCGACTGCCAGGCCCGAAATCCCTGTATGGAATTGACTCCCTCCCTCCCGTGTCGTTGAGGTGGACGTGTTGGCTAACGCGCTGGCGGACATCAACAGCTTGGGCATCATGGAGCGTACGTCCGTCCCTCTTCCGGAACATTGCACTGGCAGAGTGACAGAACCGAGAGCACCGCTGACTGGACTACCGACAGTTGGGCATCTTTCTCTGCATGCGGTGCGCCGCCATCCACCGCAAGTTGGGCACCCACATCTCAAAGGTCAAGTCGTTGAGCATGGACAGCTGGTCCAACGAGCAGGTCGAGGTACGCAATCCCTCCCCCATTGCAAGTCGCGAGACTGACCCGACCCCCCCCCTCCCAGAACATGCGCAAGGTCGGCAACGCCTCGTCCAACAAGACCTACAACCCCCAGAACAAGAAAGTGCAGCTCCCCGTCGACGCTGACGAGATCGACGGCGCCATGGAGCGATACATCCGACAAAAGTACATGAACCGCACCTTCAACACCGGCAAGCGACACAACACCGGTAGCACCGAGTCCGACGAAACACCCCCGCCCCTCCCCCCCAAGACCCCGAGCCGCTTCGGCTTCCGATCCGCCTCGTCCATCTTCCCCCTCGGCTCCAAGGCCAAGACCGCCCAGCAGCCGCCACCGAGCCCCCGAGAACTCCCCCCCGACCCGTCGCAGCGATGGAACAAGGCCTCTCAAGTATTTGGAGCCAGTGTGGGAGGCAACGATGACGCTGGGGATGCGCAGGCCACCGAGAGGAAGCTGGCCAAGCTCCGGGACATGGGCTTCATGGACGAGCAGCGGAATATGCTAGTGCTCAAGGGGGTCAGTGGCAACATGGAGAAGACGATCGAGGCTTTGATCAGGCTGGGCGAGGGAGGAGGCATATCACTCGGTATGGTGCCAGTCAGGCAGTCGTCGATGCCGGTGAATCGGAGCTTGACGCACGCTGCCTCGACAACGTCGATGCGGGACTCGGCGCGAACGCGACCCCTGAGCCCGGCCACCAACAACCCGTTTCACATGCTCGACAATCCGCCCACACCGCAACCCCTTTCCTCGCAGTCGACGGGCACCCTCCAGAATCGGAACCCATACCTGCCCAGCCCGAACACCAACCCATTCGGTGCACCTTCCCAGCAAATGGTGGACATCACACAGGCATATCAGGGTCTCTCTTTGGCACCACCCTCACAGCCATTGTTCCCTAACCATACCGGAGGGCTGGCTGCTCAACAGGCCTCTCCCCAAGTCACATACCAGCAGCCCCTGACGCCCCAGGCCCCGACAGCGCCGCAGAGCTACTTGAACCCCTACCAGAGCAGCCAGACCTACCCCCCGGCGCAGCCTTCGGCCTACAACCCATTCATGGCCCAGCAGTCTCAGCAGAGCCAACAGCCTTTGACGGTCAACCCGTTTATGAACCAGCAGAACCAGCAGCAGCAGCAGCAGCAGCAGCAGCAGCAGCCGTTGACAGTCAACACAGCACAATTCTCTGGCGGTTTCGGCAGCAATCCATTCACAAGGTCCCCGACGAGGATCCAGTCGCCACCACTAATGCAAATACCCGAGCAGTCGCAGCAGAACTTTTACGCGGCCGCCCAGCAACCCCAGGTCCAAGCTGCCCAGACGACCAACCCTTTCTTCGCTCAAACCCCGACCATGCCACAACAGTACCAACAGCAGCCGGGCCAAATGATGCAGCAACAACCAGGCCAGATGATGCAACCGCAGCCATCGCCCTTCCAACCACAGATGACGGGACACTACCAGCAGCAGCAGCAAGTCGCATACCAACCACCACGCCCCGACAAGGCATCCATCATGGCGCTCTACAACTACCCCCAGCTTGCCCCCACGCAGTTCCAAGGAGGACAAGCGGGGGAGCAGCACGGGCAGCCCGAGCAGCAGCAGCAACAAGCTCCGGTCCACAACCCCGTATCGACAGGGAGCAACAACCCGTTCATGAGCGCGGGCAACGCGGGGATGCCGGCGCAGCAGCATAACCTGATTGACGCGGCCTTTGCGCCGGCAGCCTCGAAGCCGTACAACACGAGCCGGGAGAGCATGATGGCTGGCGGGCTCGAGTGGACCAATGGACGACACAGCCCGGATGCGTTTGCGAGCCTGAGCGCCAATACGCGATGAGTTTGGCACGCTCTGGGGGGCGGATGGGATGAAATGTCTTTTTCGGGGGAGGGGGCTGGATAGGTGTATATCCTGGCCGGTCTTGCGGTTTCCATGTTTTGGGTCGTCATCTTCTTGTACATGGTTTTGAAGCCACTTAATTCTACGGGCGAATAATGATATACCGCCACCGCCGCCGCACGAGGTCGAAATATGGAGGGGGTCAGGGAAGATGGAGGGGGGGAGGGGGGTATACGATATATATCATGCCGGCGGGCTGGATAGGAGGATATGACGGGGGCGATGAGGGATGGTGACGAGCGTGGAGTCTAGAACATATTTTGAGTATAGGCAGGGTAGGGGGTGGATGAACATAGATGAGGACGATTTTGATGTACTGTCTGTAACTGTATCATGGTATCCAGTGAGTGGGTGACTTTGTTCTCCTTGTACACCCGACATCATTCCCACCAATTCGTTCCTTCTCTTCTCCCCCGTTCCTATGCCCACAAACATGAACTTGAAGGAAGCAACAAACACGCCATCCCCACCTCCACCCGCCCGCCGCCGACATGATCCATCTGCCGACCTGTCATCCTGACTCAGGACCTGCAATACCGCTCCACCTCCCCATCAACAAATCCCAAGCAACTTTAGCTCAGTTGGGAGAGCGTCAGACTGAAGTCCACTTCAACTCCAGCACATGCCCTTCCTCGGAAGGGGATTGCAATCTGAAGGTCACCCGTTCGATCCGGGTAAGTTGCAGACATCATCACATCCCATCCCTGGGAGTGCTTCTTTTTGTCCTCTCGTAAGTCGTCGCTTCCATCTCGTCTTGTCTTTTGTCTCTCCTGTGAGAGGGACGGGCTCTCGGAGCAAGATGACGAGCATCGGAGGACATAATGGAATCTGGCAACTTTAGCTCAGTTGGGAGAGCGTCAGACTGAAGTGTACTTCTGTCGAGCATGGCCTGTCTGTCTTTGGGCGGATGGGAGTGTGATCTGAAGGTCACCCGTTCGATCCGGGTAAGTTGCAATGTCATCGGAGTCGTCCTCCTCCTCGGGAGAATGTGGAGGGTGGTTTTTTTTTTGCTTGCTGTCTTGCTGTCTTGCTGTCAGCGGGCGCCATGGACGGATAAGAGTGAAAAGGGGGCACGTTAGGTTGTCCGACATATCGCGAGTTGACAACCCGCTGGGATTTGCCCTTCATTTTTTTATTTCATTTGTAAAATTCAAAAATGAAATCTCACCCCCATTGCCGGACCTCGCCGTCATCAGCTGCAAAAAGAAAGACGCTCCCATTTCCATGTGGACATGGCAGAGAAGAAAACGTCAAAAAGAAAGAATGGCCCGATCCGCGGATTGAACGCGGGACCTCTCGCAAATTGACTCAGGGTTCAAATCCCTAAGCGAGAATCATACCACTAGACCAACCGGGCTTCTTGAATTGTTGTTACATTGCTGTGGAATGAGGGTTCAAGACGGGGAGAACGAGCGTTGACGCAGCACATTGCAATCCGTCAGTCCCTGGCTGTTGGCGTGGTGACGATGTTGGATCCCTAACCCTGAACACGAAAGTTTTTTTGCCAATGGAGGGGTACACGTTGTTCCGCGGGGTCGTTTCGGTGACATCACATGTCGCGAGGGAAGGCGGATTGGATTGGTGATATCCTTTCCCGCGCACCGTTTTGGTGGTCGTCGTTGGGGTGTTGGCCTCGTTGTTGTTGGCCAGGGGCTATTTATACCGCCGGGTTTGTACGCGTTCATTACTCAGATCCCGCGCAGGTTTCCTCGTCGGACGAAGAGAGGAGGAGGGAAGGAAGGGGTGGGATGGATGGAGGAGTGCTTGCTAAGCCGGCCCCCCTTCTCGTCACTTCCAATCCATCTCGCACCTGCACCTGCCGAATACTCTCGCATCTCACAGTGTTCCGATGGACGGAACTCGGCGAGCGGAAGCGATGGAGTCCCGGCCTCCACTGCCTCCCCCTCCCCTCCCCTTCCCCTTCCCCCACAAATCCCAAGCTTTTTTTTGTGCAAGGGAAGACGGCGAAGACCCTGCCAGTCTCCAGCGGACAGTCCCTGATATACCCGCTCCTGTCTCGGAGACGGACCTCGGGATGCCTGTCTGCCGCCCGGTGGACTCACTGGACTGTGGTCTGGAACTCGGCCACTTTTTTTCTCTCATATTTCCCGGATACCGATGCAGAGAGGGACACGCCCTTGGTGAATTAATCATATTTTTCACGTCCCCCGGCAGATCCTTGGAGCTATATATCCCGCCCTGCCGCACAAAACGTGGACTTGAGCAACCAACGTACGAGACAATTCACCAGAAGAGGATCTTGCATTGTCAACCTTACTCGGGGTAAATTGACAACTGCCCGGGACTCCACACTTTCGCCATCTTCTTTATTTCCAATCTTGCAGCGATAAAGGTTTCCAGTCCACTCCGGTCACCGGGGAACCCCCCCTTGAACCACATTCACATTCAACTTTTGCATGCCGCGCCCTCAACTCCCACTCGCAGTCACCACCCACCTGCAGCCACCACGGATTGCGTGCCCTCCCCCGTGACGCCGGTTACACTACACCAGACCACGGCACCACCCTCTGATTCGACGCCCGATCCCCTTTTGGCATTTGGCGACTGCGCGCCTTGTGAATGCTACAAGGGCGTGGGGGCACTTACACCACAGTATACACACACGTTTTCAGAGTTGCCAGTTTCGGGCATCTCGTTGCTACGCACGACGACCGGTAAGCAGTACTGCCTGTCACTGTCATTCCCCTCACGGACACGGACATGTCTCCTTCCCACTCTCTGGCGATAGCATCGTCTCTTCTCACGCAACCCGCCCCGAGTTTTGTCTGCCAGGTTGTCACTCTTGCAGGAGCATCCCGGACAGACACCCCAGAACCAAGTCGAGGACTGGATATTTCACCTTTTTTTTTCTCATCTGCGATTGCCATTGCCTGCAGCAGGTACCGGATACTTGCGGCTTATTCTCAACACCAGACTGACAAGTTAACCAGGACCATCTGACTTTTATTCTGAGCTGCACTGCTCCTGCAGAGACGGGACGACACTGGTACCTCTGGGAAGTCAACGTCCGATAGAGAACCGCCAGACTTGTACCTGCCAGTCACAGTAGTCAACAACACCAATGGGTCTCTTGTACGTACCTCTCCCTCCAGGCCACCCGTCCAGGGACACTGCCACATCGCAGCCGGCCGTCATGTCGCCATGCTGATATCCATCTCGCAGAGCTCTTGGAACGGCCCTCGATTGGCCAGAGGCCAAGAAGCAGGCACCCCTCGTCCGAGCATGGGGCATCAAGGTGAGAGGCTCCCCCTTTGTATCGGATCGTCCGGAAGGGCGTCCAGGGGCATCTCATGCTGACCAACCATCTTGTGCCCATGTAGCAACTGCTCGAGATCTGGAACAAGGCCAAGGGAAAGGAGAGAGATGCTCTTCTCTGGGGCGACGAGGTATGCTGACTCTTTCACTCGGCCTTGTGAGCAGATCTAACCCCATTGTCTAGGTCGAGTACCTGGTCGTCACATACTCAGAGGACGACCCCAAGGTGCTGTTGTCACTGAGGCAGGCTGATATTCTCACCGCCCTCGCCAACGATGCCAGTCTGTCCGCCGAGGGGGGATGTGTACCCGAACTCCAGGATGTGCAAGGGTCCAAGTAATGCTCTCCTCCCTCGCGAGTATGTGTGGTACTAACACTCCCAGGAGCCAATCACTCCCGGTCTTCCACCCCGAGTTTGGTAGGTTCATGCTCGAGGCTACCCCTGGTAAGCCCTGGGGCATCGACTTCAAGGAGCTGCTCAACGTCGAGCCCGACATGAAGCTGAGGTACGTCGTCTCTGGGCTTGTCTCGGACAAAAGACTGACCACGATACAGGAGACGCATCGCCAAGGACCACATGCTCCCAAACGAGCATCCCATCACTCTCACCACCTTCCCCCGGATCGGCAGCCCCGGCGTGTTTACCACCCCCTATTATCCCGTGTCCGGACCAAAGTTGAGATCGCAGTTCGTACCCGACGAGATTGCCAACCCCCACATCCGCTTCCCCACCCTCGCCGCCAACATCCGGTCCCGCCGGGGCCGCAAGGTCCAGGTCAACGTGCCCGTCTTCCGCGACGAAAAGACGCCGTGGCCCTGGAAGGACCCCACCGTCAACTACGACCTCCACAACTGGCCCGAGGACGAGGACGTCCGGACCGGCGGTGCCGCCCCCGACAACTTCATCCACATGGACGCCATGGCCTTTGGCATGGGCAGCTGCTGTCTGCAAATCACCTTCCAGGCCAAGAACATCACCGAGGGACGGCAGATGTACGACCAGCTGAGCCCCTTGGGTCCCATCATGCTGGCCCTCACCGCCGCCACCCCGATCTACAAGGGCTTCCTCGCCGACACGGACGTGAGGTGGAACCAGATCAGCGCAGCCGTCGACGACCGCACCCCCGAAGAAATGGGCGAAAAGGTCAGCACCCCCCCTCCCTCCTTCCCACCCCTACGGGTACTAACCCCCCCTAGCCCCTCACCTCGGACCACCGCCGCATCCCCAAATCCCGCTACGCCTCCAACTCAACCTACATCTCAACCGACCCCCGCCTCCGACCCGAGTACCTCGACCCGGACCTCGTCATCGACCCCTCCATCAAAGCGGAGCTCCTCGCCGGCGGCATGGACGACCGCCTGGCCACGCACTTTGCGCACCTCTTCATCCGCGACCCGCTCGTCGTCTTCGCCGAGGACCTGCAGCACCTCGACCTCTCCAAAACCGACCACTTTGAAAACATCCAGTCCACCAACTGGCAGCACATGCGCTTCAAGCCGCCGCCCGCCGACAACTCGATCGGGTGGCGCGTCGAGTTCCGGCCGATGGAGATCCAGGTCACGGACTTTGAGAACGCGGCGTTTGCGGTGTTTATGGTGCTCATCACGCGGGTGATTCTGAGTTTCGATTTGAACTTTTACATCCCCATCGCGCGGGTGGACGAGAATATGGAGACGGCGCACGCGAGGGACGCGGTGCGGGAGAAGAGGTTCTGGTTCAGGCGGAACCCGTTCCCGCCGAGGAAGTCGAGGGGGAATTCCGGGGCGAATACACCCCGCAGCAGTCGCCCGCCGTCGCCGGTTATGGGGGTCGAGGAGGAGTATAGGTTGATGACGGTGGATGAGATTATCAACGGCAGCCCTGCGGGCAGCGAGGAGGACTTCCCCGGCCTCATCCCGCTGGTGGAGAGCTACCTGGATTCGATCAACATTGACGTCGCGACAAGGTGCGAGCTGGGGACGTATTTGGATCTGATTAGGAAGCGGGCGAGCGGGGAGCTGTGGACCGCGGCGAGGTGGATCAGGGAGTTTGTGCGGGGGCATGAAAAGTATGAGGGGGATAGTGTGGTCAGCGAGGAGGTCAATCGGGATTTGGTCGGGGCGGTGGTGGGTATTGGGGAGAGGGAGCAGAGGGGGGAGGGGTTCGGGGGGTTGGAGGAGGAGGGGGGGGTTAGAGGGTTGGGGAGGTTGTTGGGGGGGTTTAGGATGTAGATTTCCCTGGAGGGGGAGGGGGGGTAATGGTTGGTTGGGGCATTTGTTGGGTGGCTGTTGGTGTTGTGAGCGAAGTTGGTGATTTCTTTTGGTTGGTGGTATACATGTCTGCTGCGATGCTTGGATGGGCGGGAGGCTGTCTGTTTGTTGTTGGCTGCGTTTGTTGGCTTCTTGCATGAATAGATCGTTGTTTGGATTCGAGCGCGCGCGTGTTGGTTCGTTTCATGTCTCGAGGGGACTGACGCTGAGGGTAGTAGAGGGGAGGAGGGTATCATTGTCATGCTGGTCCCCGGTACACGTACTGCTCTTCCTGAGTGAACTGTCACATACGGCCATAGATGGTGGAAAGCTCGGGATCCCGTCCGCTCTCCCATAGATAAGCCACTAATCGCCAGACTAGTAGTTGGGTCGGTGACGACCAGCGAATCCCTGGTGCTGTATGTTTTTTGTTGCTTTCTTTTTTGCCAGTATGTCGTCCTTCCCCTTAATTGACAGAGCCAGAGAGTGAGAGGGGATGTGTCCAGTAGATCAGAAGACTTGGGGTGGACTTGGGGTGTTAGCAGGGAATAATTCCGATTCGGATGTACGGAGGTCTGGCATGGATGAGAAACAAAAGCCATCGAGTAGGTCACGGGGGTCAACATCACCTGTCTTCTTTTCTGGCTGATCAACATCATTCCGCCCTTCGTCTTGAGCACCACCGCCGCGCCTCCGCGAGCATTCCACACCCGACAGATCCCTTGCGTCTTGCAACAGCACAACCATCAGCCATCCGGAGCACAAGATGGCGCCACGTGGCGGCCGCGGTCGCGGGGACTTTTCGCCCAGGGAGCAGTTGTTGATGGGAGCAAGTGTCTTTTACGCGGATGG